GATTTCCCAAATTTCTTAGTTTGGGAAGAGAACCGGGAAGGCCACAGCTGCAGCCATCACAGTTGTGGCTAAGTCCTTCCTGTAAAAGGAGGCCTTCCCTCCACCTGAAGCAGCGTACTGGAAACCTGCACTGCAACCCATGCAGCTACGCTCATTTGTAACAGGGTTCACTTCAGTCTTCTCGTGGGAACTATTTTCAACAATACTCTGCTAGTTTTAAACAGTCTCTGCTTTGCTTTCAGTATAATCCCATTACTTTAAGCACTAGGAAGTAGTGCAAGAATTATATGTTGAAAACAGGAAATTTAGGTAAGGGTTTTATAATAAGGGCACAGGAGATAAGAAGAAAACAAAAGAGGTTTCCCCCACTCTTCGTATTCTTTAAATGCACAACCCATTCACTATTTTTTCTGTTTGTCAGGTGAAGGCAGAAGGAATTAATCAGCATTTAAGTGTCTGAAGAACATATCAGCAGGCCATTGCTACATTTTCACTCTGACACAAACCTGTTGTAATCAAAGCAGGTTAGTTTCCAGAAAACCCAGATAGGCACAGTACCTTGAATCCGCTAGTTTCACTTCAGTTAAGAACTTCCTGCACAGCACTCTTACTCCAAATCCAGCAAAGGATTTGAACCTGGTTCCTCTGCATCCTATGTGCTTACTCTAAAACCATTTGGCCATTAGTTACCATCTTTTGAAGAAAGCTGAAACGTAATTTAAGTACTGGCTAAGGTTCAGAACCTTACTCCTTCTCTAAAAAATAAAGGTTGAAATTACACCTGTTCAATTCCTTAAGAAACCTTCTGCTGGGAGAACAGCTGTGATTGCAACACCATCCCAAAGGAGTACAAAAAGAAGATGCAGCAAGTGCAGCTCAGCTATGCTTTTGGAACTGGTCCTCCCAACAACTCCAAGCCTGCTAGCCCTTCACTGGCCAACTAAGTCAAGAAAGGGCTGTTTATAGAGCCAAAAAGCATAGCAAGGTTCAGCCTATAAGCAAAGCATAACACCAGCTTAACATACCACCACCATTTGCTCTATTGGCAAAAGAATAATAGTTTTTATCTGATTCCCTGTGATTTAGCTGTCGAATCCCGCACTTACCAAACTGGAAGTTCCCATCAGCAATTAAAAAAATTCAAATTACTGTTTGTGTGTAGAATACCAATTCCAGGCCATCAGTGGGCAGCTGTCAGAATGCCACTCTGAAGTACTATAATCACAGGCACCAGTTTGCTTTTACTCAGCAGCAGGTGGTGGTAGCATTTTGTAAACACTGTAACCAAACAACTTAATATGCAAGGTATTCCCTCTGGAAGCTTTGTAAGTTGGGTTTAACCTGCACCAAAAAGCGGTTACAAATCAGAAACTGAAGTTAATGCCTAGCAGGTATCTATTGTGCTGCTCAGTTTCAGGTGTCCTTTTGGGGAGTGGCAGAAGCTGCAGAACCTCCCTAAGGGCTGCCTGTTTATTCATTGCTTCAGTCTTCATTCGAGGTTTATACTTTTCTTGGATGAGGAGTCTTCATACACCTCCCAGCGCCAGGCTTCAGCCTTCACAGTCCGCACAAATTATATTGTATCCCTCAGAAGCTGGACATAAGCAGTCATTTAAAAACAAAGAACAAAACAAGGGAAAAAAAAAAACAGGAAGCAAAAATAATGCTGAGCAAAAGGTTTAGACCACAGAAGGCATCAGAATAAAGCGTTTGGTGTTTTACATCTTGTCTAAACTGAGTTCTGTCAGCACAGCCAGCCTTACATACAATGAAAAGCACAGGTCTGAAATACCTTCTATGAAAACACCAGAAGGCCAAGAAAGGCTTCAAACCAGACGGTATCAGGAATGTTTAACTTAAAGTAAGAGACTTTTCAGTCAAGGATCCGATGGGAAGATTGCATGACCGATTTGCTTTCTAAAATGATCGGTGGCTCCGAGATGAGGAGATCATCCTCACCTAGTGAAGAGTTCTGCTCAGTGTTCACAAAGTTAGGAATGTTAAATTTTGTAAGACAATTTAGGTCCTCCTCAAACATTGCACTGCTCCTGGGAACTTCCTGGAAGTGGATATTACTTTCCAGAGCTGGACCTTTCTGACTTTGTTTTGCTTTGTCCAAATGCTCCACTTCATTAATGCAGAAATGGAAAAGTGACTGGGATTCTTCAGCTATTTGACGCGAAAAGACCCTCTCTGACTCCAGAGGTCTTCCAAAATCTGCCACAAAGCTATTCATGCGAAATCTTTTTTCAGAAGGTTCTGCATTGCTAGGGAGGAAAAAGAAAAATACAGTAAGCACAAAAGTAGAACTATTTGAGTTCTTAACTGCAAATTTGGTTTCAGCAAATTATTATCAGGAAGAAAGGAAAACCTACAGTTTAGCTACAACAGAATTTAAAAAGCCAGTACTATTTATTATTTTCTGCTGAAGCGATTTTAAATCTTGATTTGTCATGATAATTTTCCATGGGAGTAAGTGATCAGTGCCAGCACTCTTAAATGGCACTTCTAGTAATCAATATACTGTAATAACCAGCTCACTGAATGAGCTTAGAAATACTCTTCAGTATTTCCTCTTGATATCAAGTGGTATCAGGTTTTTTAAAAGGGCTTATAGAATGCTTTGAGAAAAATCTTTGATAGCTAAAAACCTTTCCAAGACATAGGCAGCACTGCTGTCACTAAAGGTATAGTTTGAGTGCTTGGTTGTCCAGACATCAAACCATCTTTTCCACTGACTTCAGCCAATGACATTCAGATTTCCTACTTAGGAGAGCTGGAACTAAAGATTGCTATAAAGACTGTCAGTCTTAGCAATTCAGACACACAGCCCAGGAAGGACATCTTAACATCTTTCTTGGAGTTTTCTACAAGTGTTAGCTCAAACCAGCTCCAATCCACAGGGACTTGTGCAGGAGCCATGAACAGCTGGGGCTGAGAAAAGCTCAAGCTAGACAGGAGTGTCACAGATTCTTTGTCAAGATGAATTTATATGCTGTTGTCAAAAAATTCAAGTTACTTGCATCTGAAAGGCAGCAGAGGTATTCAGAGGATGAGCAGTGAAAAATCTAAACATATTCTCAGAATATAAGTTTCGTTAAGTAAGAATTACTAAATCATTCTCGTAACATGTGAACATGTGGCAAATGACACTGGAGCCAGCTAGTTGGACACCTAAAGGTGCACGCAGCACTTACTGAGAAACACTACAATTGAATTCCCTCAAGCTGGCAGTAGGAGCTAAGTGCCTACATGCTTTTGAAAGCCTCAGATGGCACTTTCAGCAATCTACCCCTAAAACCTTCAAGTTCACAGAATACCTACCATTAGTGTTTCAGTCATAGTTAATCTTAAAGATCCCTGCTTCTAAAACGCTAATTTACTTCCATTACATGATATGAGAATTCTATCCTAACAAAAGCAGTTACTCGAGTCTTCAAATCACAGCAGTCCTCTAGTTTGTCAAAACCGTATTGGCTCAGTCTGCATTTCAAAGTGGAGCACGTAGAAGCATAACATTTAAATTCATGCAAGGCAGACCAGTAACTACGTAATAATAACCGACCATATAGATTGTATACACACCAGGAGACAAACAGACTGGAAAAGTAACGTGGCAGCCTTCAGACTGACATTTATGTCTTTATAATGGAACAGAAATCCCCACTCTGAATTTAAGCTGCGTATATAGTTTTGCAAATCTGTCCCCAAGACTTTCTATGTAGTATTGGGGCACAGACAGGGGAGGTGGCAAAGCAGCCCAGGAAGAAGGACAAGCACTATAGGCCTAGGAAGAAGTGACTTCTCTAATGGATGCATTTTAAGCTTTCTTCTGAAGTAAGACTAGTTCATAGGTGTGCGAAGTGCTTTATGATCCAGTGAGCTACGAAGGAGCAAAGGCTGGCTGTACAGAGGGGCACACAAGACTGGCAACAGCATCCTAACCTAAAGGGAAGAACAGAAGATGCAAAGAAATTTTATAGTGACCCAGAATGTTGAGGACATACGATAGAGAATAATCCTGCGCTCAAGAGCAGGGAATACGTGACCTAATACACAGTGATATTTTTGGTCTGCTGGATTCAGTATTAAGCTCTGGACTCAAGTGCACTGTCAGGGTACAGACCATTTTGCCCAGCATACCCTTCTAAGGGGGGCATATTGGTTTGGGACTGATGCTTGAAATTCCCCTCTCTATATCTTGAACACCCTGTCTCTCAACACTCCCTGAAGTGACCTGGGGCACTTGGCAAACCATGGAAAGGAGTATGTAGCCAATCCTCCAAAATAGCAGGCTTTGGCATCCCAAAGTGAACTCAGGGGATCTAAATGGATCCTTAGTGTCAACCCAGAAGCGCTACCCTAAACCTGAGAAACCTTCCTGAATGTGTTTTCAGCAAAGACATACAAGTATCTGTAGACGAAGTTTTTGTTTCAGTGGATCTGCATTTCTCCGAGTCACTTCCACCCCAGAATCCTTAACCAAAACCAACTGATTTCTTAAAAAAAAAAAAATTAAAACCCCAGTCATTTCACCTTTACTGCAACTAGTTGTACAACCTGTCTCAATAGCTCCATGAAGCTTTGCGACTCCATCAGCCAACATTTTGTACAGATAGGTTACATGAACACATGCGTTTGTTGCACAAATGCATTTTTAAAGATGTTTTTAAGCGCAGAAACATAGTGTACCATCTTCTCCTGAGTGATGAATGACAGTGCTTTTCAGGCAGATATTTCGAAAGATTGTCAACACATTTTTTTTTGTCGCAGAAGCTAACGTTCCACACATACTAATAGGCAAGCAAACAAAAGAAAAGTGCAACAGGCATCATCTCCATAACTAATTAAATTTCTACTTCTCCCCTTCCATATCCTGACCCTTTTCTTCTGGTTTGAGAATGAACCCAATTCTGAACATCTTGTACAATTTTGAAAAATGCATGCTATCATACCACTTTATATTGAGCCAAGAAAAGCATACTACTAGAAAAATCAGAGTATTCTACTTTGGATCAATCCATCTGAAGCCTGTTACACCTATCTCTCACGTTAATGGTACTTTAAAGAACAGTTAAATTGACTTACTGAAGTCAGACATGTCCATCAATCAGGCTGGCTTTCTCCCAAGACGCAGGAATCCCATTAACATCTACTTCTAAAGGAGGGCTGCATGACAGCCCACTAATGAGTCATGAAGAACCCAGTTGTGTATAAAGACAGAAGATGCAGGCAAACCGAAACCACAGTCTGCACTGCTTTTACAGGTAGGTATTTATGTTCTCCAGTTTTTATATACATGTATCAAAAGTAAGAGGAAACAACAGTATTCACTGCCCTTAACATACACCCAGATGATCTCTTTCCAGCACTGTACACATGCGGTTATCAACTCAAAAAAATAGTGCTCAAATTTGTTAAAGGTGCCAACTCAGCATACATAGTAAGCGGGCAAGCATTCAAGTACGCACCTCCCAAAGCTGCAAAGGAAGTTTAAAACAAATACATAAAGGAATAATTGGGCTCTCTTCAGCAACTGAAGAAAAACTGTATTAAGATTTAGGTCAGCAGGGACTTCTAGAGGCCTCTAGCCTAACGTGCTGATGAAGGCAAGGCCAACTCTGAATTCAGATCAGGTTATCTGGATGCAGAAGTCGATCAAAGATGGATGTTTCACAAACTCCCTAGGCAACCTGTTCCAAGAAAATTCATGAAGAAAGCAGAAAACCAGAGGGAGATATCAAGCAGGCCTCTTTACAAGCATAGAAACTTTTGACAAATACCCATATTAAATTCTTTGTTGTATATTTGACTTCATCACTACTTCCCTTCTCAAATTATTCACATGGGATACAGACTGAGATGCTCAGCTACAAAACAAGATCTCCAGGGAGACGAGGCAGCGCAGCAACACTTAAAAGTACTTCAAATATATTTGGGAGCAAGGTCTGGCTACTTTATGACAGTCCATAAGGGAGGCAAAAATACCAGCAAGTCAGTTCTGGGAAGCTGAATTCTTCTGCCTCTATTTCCTTCTCACAGAAGCAAAAATTTAGGAGCACAGAAGAGGCTTGCAATATATGTATGTCCTCTCTAATATGGCCCTGACTCTAGAGATGCGCTATTACACGAAGTTTCAGAGCCAGTCTACAAATGATTAAATAGCAATTGGCCTTCAGCAGGCAGAGATAGGCAGGCTGCTTTAGGAAGCGACAGGCATTAACAATTGCCTTTCACAATCAGCTTCTCATCACTGCTACCTGCCTGCAAGTGATCTCACTCTCCAGAGTGGCTTTTTATTTCTACTTTATGACACATAAGCCTGAGAGGAGATGGGAGTTTGAACTTTCTCCGAGGAATGGACACTGACAGCCCGAGTGCTGTGCGAGTGCAGAGAAATGGTTGAGGCAATGGTCTGCACATACTTATCAGTCAGAAAGAACATGAAAAAAAAAAATAGGTTAGTTTGTGACTTTAGGGAGACAGTGGTGTTAAACAAGTGTGGAGCTGATCAGTGCTTCAGCATCTACTGGAATCTCTCGGCAGAAACTAAGAAACTCTGAGACGAGGGGAGCTACAGGGTTAAGCAAAGACTTTTGTAAATACTACCGGTAGCTACCTTTTGGACTTGAACACACAAATATCTGGAAACCCACCAGACTTCAACTTCCCTAACATCTGCACTGCATTTTATTTGTATATACTGTCAGTGTTCACATTTCTCTGTTCCACTCCATCATAACGTGAGCCTACCTAGAATGACCCCATTTATCTGCAGAACCTACCCATCAACTTCCTTTTAGCATGAAAATGCATACATGCAGCTATTCCCTTCTCTTACTGCATGCCTACTTTTTCCTAAATAGGGAACACTATTAATAACAATTCTACAGAATCGGTCTCCTTGGAACAAAAATTATTTGAAACAAAGATAGACTGCACCCTTTCATAAGGACGGACTAGAACAAGAGGGTGCTGAGCCAGTGCAATGTCAGCACTGTTGCTGCTTGTTTGGGGGCTGCAAAAGAAGAGATGCACCACTTAGCAGGCTGGATTTATTATTCCAGTTTTCAGACTCACTCTTGATGTGGTGCTCCTGTCTTCGTCAGCAGGGTCAGGACAAAAAACATGAAGACAACAAAAACCGCAAGACCAACCCAAAATCCGATCACAATGGAATCTGGTGAAAAAAGAGAAAACAAGATGATCAGTATTTCACCTGCACTCACAGAAAGTTTCCTTCCACATGCAGCATGACTGCAAATCGTAAAAGACTTTGCAGCTTATTCCTGCGTGGCAAAGAAGAAGGACAATCAGATTTATCATTATCTAATTTTAAACAGAAAGCTGCCATTGAAGCTGTTATTTCTAGCCTGAATTTTACTGATGTCTGGACAAACCAGAGGGAAGACACTGAATTCTCTTGGTGAGTAAAATAACAGCAGCTCCTTTTGTGATGCCTGGCTCATTTCCAAGCATTGCTTTGGAAACAACTTCAGTGCTAGAAGTCAGAAGAGAGGATTATTTGATTTTCAGCAAAACCCTCTGTCCCTGTAGAACTGAACTCCTGCTATTTTAAATTATTTCTGCCCCAGACCATTAGGTTTCTGCATTTTGATACATTTCTTTGACACAATAGATTCAGGAAGATCTAGCTTTCTTTTGGTGGTAAGATAAGAGCATTCTGAAATAAACGGAACCACAGATAAAACTATTTGTTACCTCAACAAGTATCAATAACCAACTTAAACAAGAAATTTTGGAATTATTTTTAATTTGGGTTTCCAACTTACATACAGAAAACTGCAATACAATGTCAGAGAAGCCAAATGGATTTGGATAAAAAAAGTCAAACTACCAACTAAAAGGAAAACTTCAGGGCAATAGCCAAATATACAAGCAATTGGGAAAAGCATGGCTTTTTGCCTGTGTGCAAAAATGTACCTACTGTTCTTATTTATAGCAAATGGACCCACAGATAAATTGCCAGTTCTACTTAAAACAAATCTATGTCCACTTAGGACTTCAAAGTTGATCCACAGTTGCTCCTGAAGGAAGCTCAAAGCTTCCTGGAATTTGATTAACAGAGGTCCAAGTGGGACAAACGTATTTCCAGACAATTAATTGATAAGCGTGCCCCAAAGTTACAGAGCACCATCCCAAACTATGACCTGGCCCAGGACTCACAGTGCACAGGTACTTTTTCACCTGTCATTCCAGTTATTTTTTTATTTATGCAAATATTCAAAACTACTACTTAAAAGTTCAAAAAAATTAACATACCAACATGCAAGAGGGAAGTCTCAGTCAGGACAGGTATCCTACCTACCCTTAACCTCTCATTATACAGCTGCTACTGAACCCCAAGATCCTCACTGGCTGTAAAGCTACACAATGATCTGTCTGACCCAGTGCAGCGGGCACAGCACAGAACTTTAGCCAGCTTGTCGAATCTCCTACAGGACTAAAGACACCGGAAAAAAAAAAAAAGAATCAGCTATCCTGCCTGGTGCTCAACCCCAATGGTTAATCAGAAACCCACTGTGAAATATCTTCCACATTGCAAGGCAGATCTGGAAACTGGAAATCAATTCAAACCATTTGCTCTTTCTCTGTGAAGTCAAAGCGCCTGCTGCGACTTGAGATTTTCTCCTTGTGAAAATACTTTACCACAACCAAGTCACTCCTTAATCCCTTTTTCTGGTAAGCTAAGGACGTTAAGTTTCAAGCCTCCCACTGCAGTGTTTGTTCCATCTCTGCCACATACACTCCTCTCAACACCCTTCGTAAAATAACTACTGGGTGGTTCAAGTATAGGTCTCCATGATGGGGGCGTGGGGGGAACTGGGAAGTTTGGAATACTCCTTTTTGCTTAAAGCATACTGGTATAAGAGTATTTCTATAATTCCATGAATTATGAGCCCTAAATTACTTTCAGAATCATTCTATAAACATAGCCTGTATTCAGTGAGTCAAGATACACCTTGTGTTCGGCCTCACTAATAGAAAATAGCTCATGATTATCTACCATCCTACCAGACATTGTAGCACCTGAAGATTTCCTCTAAAAAGAAATACTCCCATTAAAAAATTTACCACTTAACCATTTACAGCCACTACAGTACCTACGAATTAGTCAGACATGCTACAGTGATAGGCAACTGCATTAATAACGAGAATGTAAAGTCTAATTAAGTAAGATGTCTAAAAATATACACATAGATCATATTGATCAAGCTGCAAAACTTGACTCATCAACTAAAGGAAAAAAAAACCCATTAAAAATAAAAATCAAGATTCTGATAAACTACTATTCCCCACAAGAATCACACCTGCCAGCATTGTGTGCTGAATAACAAGCCTGTCTTGTCGTTTGTCTGGTGTTCCCCCTTGCCCCAACAGAATTCCTAAGTTTACAGAGCCTAAAGCTACATTTGCTTTATTGTGGCTGCTGACACACTTCCAGCCCTTGGCTGTATGGACTACATTCTTTGGACTTGTTTAAAATTAAAGCAGGAAGCCTGAATTCTCTTCAGTATTTCATTAGGCCTCACTCATTTAAGTGCAAATTATCCAAACCCTTTAACTTCTAAACCTTTATTCAAAATAAACAGTACATAACACAACGTTTACTCAAGAATATGGTGTAGGACTATATTTCTAATACTGTCTCAAGTTACAAATAGATAGGGAAAGTATCCCATGACTTTCAAGTTGCAGAATCAGTCTTCCTTTCCTTCCTAACACAGACTCGTAACATCCTGGCAGTAGCTCTGACTCCCCTGATCATTCCTACCTATTTTACATCTCTAATGTTACTGAGCTTTCTTCTGTTCCAAAGGCACAAAAATAGGATTTTCTTCTTATCTCTACCAATCAGAGATATATCTTTTATTTTTTTTTAGTCATATATTTGAAACATCACTGTGGCATTTGAACACCTCATCTTCTCCCTACCTCCACTTTTTTTTTTAAGAAAATTTTCGTGTAGTCAACGTTTGTCAATATTTTTCTTTACAGGTCACTTTACATAAATTTTCCTCTGCTTTCAGAAAACAGGCTTCTGAATTCCTTTGTGTATACATTAAACTATTAGGAACCTCCCCTTGCCTACAATTAATTAAATCAACATTAATCCGAAAGTGGCCTCCAACTTTCTCTTGTGGACTTCATCTTACATTGTGGTTCAAAACAGTGCCCTCATTTTGGGGCATTTATTTCCTCTCACAAGGAAATACCTTTTGTATCAGAAATAAATAAATAAATTTTAACAAATCACACCCCGCTAATTTTAAGAGAGGCCAGTCATGTTTTACAGCTGGCCAAGTGTCACTGCCAGCCTGCACCACCTACACTGGAGTCCACTCCCCTTTAAACTCTCTAACATAAGTTACAGACATTCATTAACACCCCTCTGTCAATATCCAAGGTCTCCCTCCTAATGTAAACCCCAGTGTAGTCTCCTCTCCAGTTTAGGATTTCAGTGAAGTTACATGTCTGACCGCGTTTCCTCCACATTCCTCAACAGTCTCAACTCAGCTGAAAATAGCTAGAAGAAACAGACCAAGAACATACTGTGTCAAGAAATACCATGCCATACACACCACAGATACAGACTGTTCCTTTAACTAGATTAAATTCAGCCCTCTGAGAATGCGTGCAGTGACACTAAAGTAAACAGAGCCAACTGCAATCTATTAGTTAAGGAAAAACTGAACACACACCCCTCAAAAACCAGAAGGGACTTCCTAGGTCACCGATTCGACACTAGTATTAATCCCTTTCATAAGTACATCAAGCTCCACCTGAAAAACGGCTGTTCCTCCTGTCCCATTCTCCAGTAAGAGCTGTCCAGAACCCTCTTGCTCTAACCAGCACAGCCAGGCAGAGAAGCTGAGCTGCCACACTTCACATGGCAATCACTTCGATGGCAGTCCAAGGGCTGTTTTGTTTGATGCTATACCTTCCCCAATCCAGAGGTAACTATAATTGATATTATTTTTTCTCCTGTCACACTCTTTGATACACCAGGATAAAAAGAAGGCATGTACACAACACTGCAGCTAATCTTTGTAATCAGTAATCTTTGTAATCAGTGTTGTTGTTGTTGTAAGCGGAAGAATGGAATATAAATTAGAAACATGATAACAGCTAACCTACATTTTTCAAGTACCTAACATTTGTAAAAATACAGACAGTAATCAGGAAACTTTTTTGGAAGAAAAAAAAAGGTAAAGTACACATTCTGCTCCAGTTTTTGGTTTGTTTTTTTGTTGTTGTTGTTGTTTTGTTTTTTTAAAGCATTAAAAACTTCAACAAGTTTCTTCTGTCCCTCACAGAGCCTCCCCAAAACCTCCTGACAGAGCACAGCCAAGGGAGATCAGCCTTTCTGGGCTGCTGTTTGCCACTGCAGGCACTCCTCTTTCTCAATCCAAATCCTCATTGTGACAGATGAGGCAAAAAATATATATCCCATCCTGGACCAGTGCTCCAGCACCGGATGGAGACACGTCCCCAATAGTTTCAAGACAGGTGCTCAAACCCTCCCACAGTATATCCAGCTCAAAAACAAAGAAACAAAATGGTTTGCTTCTCTGGCAACATGCTTGCAAAACATGTCCAGTAATTCTGAGTTGGTCTCCCTTACTTCTTTTTTTCTCCCCTACACATTTCCCCCTTAAAAAACCCAAGAAATTTCATAAAAACCAAAGCCCTTACCTAGACTTTAAGTGAATGTTGGTTCATATGTACTAGCTTGCCCTAGTTAAATTTCCTCTCAGTTCCTACCCATTTTTCATCTCTCTTGTCCCTGTCCTCCACTTGTTGCTTCTGCTGTAAAACAGCTCCAGTATGAGCAGAATGCTGAATTTAGCATGCTCTTATGAAGAAAGTCCCAATGATAAAAGTTTCTTCAGGAGAAACTACTTCTTTTGTTTTAAATCTTTTAAAAGCTTTATATTTTTTTCCATGAAAAAAACCGAGAAGCAGTGAGGCTGCCCACCACTGCCTTTTTAGCATCAGCAGGAAGAAGAACTAAGCAACACGGATCATACCAAGTATTCACCAGAAGCAGCAGTGGCTGTATTTGCTGTTATAAACTGTTCCTGATAGTCTGATATTCCTCAGTATTGACAAATTTCTACCCCAGCCAAGAAATCCATGGTTCTCTCATGCACAAGAAAAACAGTCAAAGACACAGAATAATGAACAATTATAATAAACAGAGTAACACTTCTAATTGTTGAGAATCCAAAAAATTAGGAAAGACATTTTTGTGCAATAATCAGTTACAAATGAAAAGCAGGAATATTAAGATGGGGAAGCTCAATTGCAATAAAGTATGTCTCTACAGAACTTACATTTATGAGCCTTCAGGCCTTCAAATGACACTGGTCCGTACTCATAGTACTCGTACTCCCAGGTGTAATCAGAGTTAGACAAGGCCTGCTGGGAGGTTCTGTTAGAAATCAGCCTCAGGGCAGACATCTTGCACCTCAATAAATATATACCTGTGGATATGAAATGCATTACTGGAGACTACATACTTCTAGTGCATCTTTTGATTTTACAGAGTCCTTTATTATGGGATCTCTTCCTCATCACTGTTCCCAAGAGCAGCCACTCATGCTTACAAGGCTTTCTCACACGTTCCTTTAAAATCCAGTATCACTGCCTCATCAGACAAGGCTATCGCATCCCCTCCCATTCCTTCCCCAGCCTTGGCTGGCCAACCAGAACTTTTGTTCAATGGAAATTAGAGAACCCATGTTCACCTTTGCAGAGATGCCTGTAAGTGTACAAAGTACCAAAACCAGGCTGATTGAATACAGCTTTCATAGCTCAAAACCAGTAAACACCAAAGACCACCAGCCTCAGCAGCTTAGGATGAATGCTGCCACAAAAATCTGGGTGGAAAACTGTCCAGACTACCAGACTTAAAGGGTTATATTATCCATACAAAGTCCAGCTGTCAGCTGGTTATCATTGGTACCCCTCAGGGACTGATACTACGATGAAATGGAGTGCACTTGTAGCAAGTTCACAGATTACACGGGGGACAGTCAAGAGGCTGGAGGGCAGACCGCTACTTAGAGCAACCGGGACACCCTGGAGAAAGGGAGTGACAGGAACCTTGTGAGGATCACCAGTGCAAATGCAAAGTCCTGCATCTGGGAGGGAATAACCCCATGCAGTAACACAGGCTGGGGGTTGACTGCTGGGGAGCAGCTCTGCAGAGAAGGACCCGTGACGGACAACAAGCTGGACATGAGCCAGCAACGCATCTTGTGGCAAAGGCAGACAAGTGACTACTGGGCTGAATGAAAAAGAGTGTAGCCAGCAGGTCAAGAGAAGTGTGTATTCTTCTCTACTCACCACTGGTAAGATTGTATCTGGGGTACCGCATCCAGTTTTGGTATCCCCAATCACAGAAAGACACGGACGCGCTGGGGCAAATTCAGTGGAAGGCCACCAAGATGGTCAGGGAGCTGCAGCACAGGATGCACGAGAGCCTAAGGGAACTGGGTTTGTTCAGCCTGGAGAAGGAAGGCTCCCAGGAAACATTAGTGCTGTCTACAGTTACAGTCAGAGGGTGCAGAGATCACGGAGCCTGACTCTTCTCAGAGGTTCACAGTAAGAGGACAACAGGCAATGGACACAAATTGGGAAAGAGGAAATTTAAATTAGATACTAGGAGAAAATTTACCTGATCTAGTTGAACATGATTTGCGCAGGAGGTTGGACCAGATCACCACCAGAGGTCCCTTCCAACCTAAATTTTCTCTGTGCTAATGAACAGCTTCAATATGCCGCTACAGAAGGAAAATAAAATAGAAGTGATTTTCCCCCCACAAATTACCAAGAACTGCAATGCAACATTAAGCATCGTTATATTGTCTTGATAGATATTTCTGTCATTACAACACTGCACTAGGGATTTGCATTTTGCAGAGTAATTCTTTCAGAATATTAGACAGTTTTATGCACACCAAAAGAAAGCACATCGCTGCACAAAACAGCTGCTGCAGCAGCTGAAGTCAGGACACCCAACTTGAAACATATTACAAAATACTTTTTGCAAAAGCAAATGGAGCTTTAGGTAATTTTGCATCCAATTAAAACCCAGCAGGGTGAAGACTTCACACAGTTCATAAAACTACTGCCATCAGTTGTTCTGCGGACAATGAAACCTCAGAGCACAGAGTCAAACCCAGATAAAATTTCATGAGAAGGGCTCTAAATAGCACTGTCCGTCAAAATAACTGAAACTTCAGTCCTTCCTAAGGATAATTAGATTGACTAAGGCTGTGCAAGTAAAGCACATCGCTCATGTGCTAAGAGGGCTGTACATAAAGAACAAGAATCAGCCATAAAATAAGGAACACAAATTCACCCAGGGACTATGAACAGCATTTCAATTTGAAAAAAAAGTTCTTTCTGCAACTATTTTACC